ATGAGGTATTTGCTCACAAAGGAAGGAAGACTCAGGAGTGGTGCCGAGAAAGTGTTTGCTACAACTGCTGCTACTACTGCTTTCACTTATTGGTTGCGAATTTCCCTACTGTAACTCAGTGGACCTGCTCGTATGGTCTATTCTAGAGAGGCAAACTAGCGCTTCGAAGCATGCCGCGTTGCTGCTCTTTGAAAAACCTCAAAGGCAGGCTGGATTTCTTTAATAGTCTCTGCCTGTGGGACCGCCTGAGAGCCATTGAGTTGTACCGGAACCGTCTTCGAGTTATAATTTGTACAGGAAAGGGCCATATCGAATGGCTACACGTGGTCTTTGTTGATGCGATTGATGGTTCACATAAATTCTTGAGCTGCTGTTCCGATACCATATTGGGTATCCCATTTTTGCAATGGCCGTCTTTTCACTTACCTCTGATGTTTACGTGACCTCACTCCCTCCCTCCCCAGCTCCCACAACTACATAATCAACAACAACGACGGCAATGATTTTAATAGTGAAAGGATAAATAACAGAGGATCTTGAAGTTAATCAACCCTTTGTGGGACGCATGTGGGACGCTCATCTGACCTATAGATGACTTGCGGTGGCGATGCATGAATCAGTACTTTTTTCCTTCCAAACGAGTCTCACCATTTGTGTGACTCTGGATGGCACGACCGTTTGGTCGGCCTAGGCCGATATCGATGCGGGATCTGGTCTCTAGACCGTGCAAGTAAGATATTGCGCTACTTGAAACTACACCAGTTGAGCCTGTGGTAACAATTATTTGCTTGTTTTTTGCTTTCATGGATACAGACAACGACAACGTGTCCCATTAGTGGAGGCAGAGCTTCTTTTGATGGATACCCTCTGCCATCTACTGCTTTACTATCGTTTTGCTCATTCAATTTATTGAAAATCACTTTGACTTATCAAAATTTATTAACATATTAAATTCAGGTAGGTAACTCGGACTCTTCGGACGAGAAACACCGATTACTCCAATAGTCTTCATGTGGCACATCAAACGACATATATGGAAAGATGAGACCACAATGGAGCTCAATCACCTCATATACGCCAAACAGATTGGATACCTATCGGATGATTAACTGCCGAACGGCTCCTCTCGTAGTGATTTTCGTTTACTTATGAATTATTATACGTTTGCGAGGACTGAGTATTCCAAATGTTTGGCCAAATCGCTCTACCGGTCCCAAACACAGACTTTCTTCCTGTTGTGGGCTGTGATTGTCGGATCATTGTGATGGGTCGAACGGTCCAGCGGGACTGGGAGTGTTCGTGTTTGTCCCTACGATGGCCAAAGACGATACTGCGAATGCTATGACGGACTTGATTATTGAAGAGGAGTAAGACCATTGGATTCACTGAGACATTGATGACTCCTGAAAGAAATTGGATAGGCAAAACCGCCACAGTAATCCCTGAAAAAAAGGTTCAAACCTATGGTATTCATGGTAAGCACTCCCCATACAGCACCTTTACTCGCTTTTGGTACTATAAAGAATAGAAACGCTGTCAAGTACTGAGAGCAGCATATGACAGTGAATTGGAGTGCCTGAATGAGAACTACTGTATTCACTTCCTGAATGGGTCACCAGAAGCCTTAACTGCCGAACTTACCAGTTTTGCATCCACTCGCGATTCGCGCTGAGTGGCGACACCACGCTTACGACCTCGATAGATACATACGAGTATGATGATATAGGCGCATATCATCAGAATAGGAATCGCCTGACCACCATAGAAATTGACATCGATGAAGGAAATCCCAACTGAAATGAGGAGAAGAAAACGATGGTGATGATGATAGCAAGAGGAGAAGGAAACGATGGTGATGATGATAGAACAGTTTGATGCCTTAACTAATGGGACGGTGAGGACTGCAGTGTAACGACCACTTAAGGTCAACGCAGGTGGTAATTACAATGAAGGCTAGCTCTGAACTTCGGGGATGTTATTGCGATTCAGCTCAAGTGAGCACCCGTGATGATGCCCGCATATCTTTACTTTACCACTAACCACACCCTGCGAAGTTCAGACCTGGAGGAGAGATCGTCTTTACTTGCCTTCACCTCGACCATTTCAAATTGCAGCTGAAACTTCTTATACTAAAGTTCGAGTACTGCTTGGTCGGACATCTAGTACCTCGCCGAAAATAGGACAGGTGGAGTTTCCGAGTCACAGAGTGGCTCGAGAAACAGAACATGACCGCTAGGACGGCAGCAAACTGCTGAGAACACCGTGAGACTGTGGACAGTTGAAGTACCAAAGTCAGCTATCTAGTCACACAAAAACTTTTCTCTTCAGGATAGTTCCAGTCGGGCTAGTCTCTCATTATTTTAGTTTCAGCTTTTGTCACTTTCTTCCTTTTCCTCCCTGCATCTGTTGATATATTGTTAGTAAATACTCACTTCTTCACTGAACCCTACTCACTGAAAGTCTTCGAAGGTTAGCGTATGAAATTGAAGAGGAGGTCAGGCGAATCATTTCTTTCCTTCATCTATCCTCTGTCCGGTACTAAGACACGTCTCGTTACTTTTGAAGCTTACACCACTGTATCCCTTTTGATCTAATCCCAACGATGCATTAGTAAACGGGATTGAGATATATTTTTTTGGTGATAAAACTTTTGAACTCCCTACTCCACTACCCAATTGCTATTCAAACGTTCGAAGAGGTCCTTTGCTCTTTTCAAGGTATAAGATCGGAATTTCGAACTTTTCAAAGGAGCAGTCCTATCATGCATGGAGAGTAATCAATCGCTTCGTACTGAAAGTCTGCCACGCTAAAGGTAAGAGAGTAAGATGTAGAGAGTTGTATGAAAATACGGGATATCAACTCACATGCAATGTTACATTCGGAACAGTTGTAAGTATAACCCAAAGAATGTCGATTGTATCGTTTATAACATCCCATTGCTGTTGTGCCAAATGTAATAATTGCTGTTAATACCCATGGGCTGATCAGCAGAATCTGAAATTTTTCATCAATCGTATTCATTTACTTCCTCTTCCTGTCAATTAAGATGAAGCCATGAGTGACACTGCAGAGTGGATAATTTTTATGTATTTGGCCTTCTAAACTTCGAACACTTATTCAGAGAAGATGGAAATGACTGGTCTCATTTGCTTTTTTTAGACAAGCCTGCTATATTGAGCTGGTTTTGGTTTACAAACTAAATGCTGAAGGAAATGTGTTGAAATGTATCATTCGATTGGGATTATCTCTTGCCCTGAATATTCAAACTTTCTGCAATCTTTGTTAAACCTTCGATTCCATTAGTAGAAGCCTTTTTCGGGTCTAGCTTATCGGTCCCGTTTCCCATTTTACAGAACGTAAAGCTGGCGTTCCCACATTCCAGCCATGTGAGTAGCTAATAGAAAAAGGGTGGAATCACATGACAATACAGATTTCATTCCTGAGGCCGCAAATAGACACAAGGCCAGTCAGTCGTAGAAAGGTGATGCGGAATCATAATTATAATTATAATAGGAATTCCCTTTTTTTCCACTCAGGTTCCCACTCGAACAGCGATTCGCTCGATTTCCTCACAATGGCGTCAACATTTAGTGCCCATATCCAGGAATTCTGGATCCTGAGAAGTCATATGAGGTATTGTTGAAAAACGGGTTAGATGGCCAAGACGACGCTCGACGAGAGCTCAAACATGCTCCCGTTGCCCGCCGCCGTTCAATATTATGGGAATGGGACGTGTTTAACAGCTCTTTAGAGACTGGGTATCACTCGAATTGGAGCGCGTTTGCTGTAACCGCGCTCAATCAGCCAACTAGCGTTGCTCTGGTGCGACTGGACCTTCCAAATACCGCTATGGTTGTCATAATCTTGTCCAACCTCAGGAAGAACTAGTTACCAGAGGCCTTTTACTTCGAGATTTTTGAGAATTTCCCCGTTCTCTCCGCCACCGATTGATTACCCTGTATCTACATTTTCACCATACACTTCAGAAAAATGTTCATGAGATTTCAAGGAATAACTTTCCCAAAGGCCCTCTTCTTTCCTAATAATTACATTTCAGTCCTCAAACCTGCTCAGTAGAGCCTGAGACGTGTTCTTATAACAGAGCTTGCTCTAGAACGACTTTGTTACTACTGTAGTAGAAGAAAAATGAACAGACCCTGATCCAAGTGGTTTTGTAGGCGAAGCATTTGGACACAAAAATTCCAAATCGGTAGATAGTCAACGCCGCCGCTGACAATAGATACCCCCAATGTGCTAAGGTGTTTGGAGTGGATAGAATAATCATGAGTTGATCGGATCTGAGAATTAAATGGGTGTTCGAAAATCTCAAAAAAATCTCTAGTTAAGCAGAATGGTTTAGTACCAACCTCATAAAATGGCACTCATTAAAAGTACACGGAACAGATACCCATAAATTGGTGGCTGAATACAGAAGGCCAGATATGATCATATTGATGACAAAATGTGTGAAATGCTGAAAATAATAAAACTTTTTGACAAAAGATTCAACGGTCATAGCCAGTTATTTACACTAGCAGTAGAGCAGTACTGTTTCTCTTCGACAGCCTTGCTCTCAATCCAATCCTTTGTTAGCACAGAGAAGTAAAAGTAAAAGTAAAAAGTAAGGGTGGGAAGCATGTGGGCGGTATTATTGTCAAAAAGTGAGAGTTCTCTCCCTTCTCTTCCTCTTCTCTCTATTGTTAAACTTTAGCCCTTGCAGGGTACGCTATTCTTGCCGGCCCTCTCCACTTCCTTCTATATGAGGCATGTTCTACAACAACGTCGGCTTCGGTGAGGTCCTGCCTGACCACGTCCCGCCACTTATTCTTTGGGGCTCCTGGTCACTTATCTTGAAGCTCCATCAGATCCATCACCTGCCTTATTCGCTGATCTTCCTTCATGTTCCTCCAGATACGATCACACATTACGAAGTGGGAGGTTTGATTTCTTCTGCTCATTCCTTCCCCTATCCCTTCTATAAAAGAATCTGTAAATGCCCCGTTCCCTCTCCTCCATTTCTTTCTCCACTTGAATGGTTTAGACCCAGCATAATCAATTTAGAAAGATATAGATATGTGCCAGACCGTGGTAATATATCAAAGATAGGAAAATGAATTCTAAAGAAGAAAGTATTATCTGGAATTATACTTTCG